CCCAGCTCAGTCGCTCACCTGCCGAGAACTCCCCCACACACCCCCAAAGTCGAGTCAGGTCATGCTCCTCCCCTGCTCTGCCCCCATCACCTGCCTATCTCCCCACTAGCTGGAGATCCCTGGGAGGACGACTAGTAAGTCCTGGTCAGCATCACTCTGGCCTTGGACAGCGCAGCCCAGACACCCGAGGGCAGGGAGGAAGAAGGAACAAACAACTGACTCACTGTCGTTGGCGTTCTCGGAGCTTGGCTCTGAGCCCTGGGACAGGGACTGGGAAGCCAGCACTCCCTGGGCCTGGTAGGGCTGCGGCAAGGGGAGCAGGCCTTGGCTCAGCTCCCGTCCACCCAGCGGCAGCGTCTGCTGATCCAGCCTGGCACCCAGGGGCAGCTTCTGCTCTGCCTCTGTCAGGGGAGGCAGGAGATAGGGTAGTGACAAAGGCGAGGCTCCAAGGCCGGCCACCCTCTGCCCTCTCCCACCAGCGTCCTGGGAGCGCGGAGGTGTGAGGCCTCACCTGACTTGGGCACACCGCATTTGAAGCACTTCTCACGGCGTTTGAAGTTCTGGACGCCACACTGTGAGGCACAGGCCAGGCCGTCAGAGTGGGGCGGGGGGAGGCTTCCCGTTATGCCCTCCAAACCTGGATCCATAGGTCCCCCAGGGAACCCTGGCCCACCCCGGGGAAGGGAGGCTCCAGAAGCAGGAGGCAGGGGGCTCTGGCTGTCATTCTTGGGCCTCTGAATCTCCCCTTTACACAGTCTCAAATCTGTCCCTAGTGCTAATCCAGCTCAGGAATCGACAACTTTACCACCCAAAAAGATTCCCAGGTGATTCTAATGTGCAGCCAAGGGTTGAGAACCACTCCTTAAGTAGGTTCCTCTTCCCAAAACTTGCTTCCCTGTTCAGAAACCTCCGATGTTTCTCTCCCTAAAAGCCAGGAGTCCCTCTCTTGCCAGATTTCCATCCCTTCTTTATCTCAAGGACTAGGTTGGGTCCTGCTGCTCTCAAGAAATCTGCCTCTGGAGACCCCTCCAGGTGCCACACTTCTCTGCTCCAAGGTCAGGTACTGAGCACCACTCTTGTGCCAGGCTCTGCCCTGCATGCCCAGGATGTGGCCTCTGCCCTCAGGGCCTACCAAGAGCACAGAGGGGCAGGTGAGTGTGTGGGTCCGGGCACCAGCGGGGCCCTGAGGGGCACCGCTCACTCGGCTTGGGCAGGTCAGCAGGGCTGTCTGATCTGAGGAGACCCGGAAGTCTGGTTTGGTGTGGGTTTGCGGGGAAACCAGAGGTTTGCTGTAGCTGGTGAAGGAGGGTGAGGAGACAGGCCAAAGCCGAGGCTGGGGAGGAAAGGTGATGCTAGGTTATGGAGGATGGTGCCACTGAAGCTCAGAGTTATGGGGGTTTTAAGCAGAGAAGGTCAGGGGCAGGTGGTTCTGAGGAATGTTACAGGTGAGAAGGTAGGAAAGACGCCAGCATACCAGAGAGGGGCCATGGTGACTGTCTGGGGGAGGGGAGGACTGGCCTGTGCTGTGGGAATGGCAGGGAGGACATCTCTTTTTCTTTCTTTCTTTCTTTTTTTTAATCCTCACCTGAGGATATTTTTCCATGAATTTTTAGGGAGAGTGGAAGAGAGAGGGAGAGACAGAGAGAAATATCAATGTGAGAGGCACACTTCGATTGGTTTCCTCCTGCATGTGCCCTGACCAGGGCCCAAGTCAGGGAGGAACCTGCAGCGTGCCCTTGACCGGAATCGAACCCGGGACCCTTCAGTCTGCAGGCCAACGCTCTAGCCACTGAGCCAAACCAGCCAGGGTGGGAGTGTATTTCTATAATGGCAGTGACAGGACCCGATGACCTACAAGATGTGGGGGGTGAAAAAGGGAAAGGAGAGAATTCCCTGGTCTCGAGGAGTGTCTGAAAATACAGGGGGAGATGGAGTTCCACTGTCGCTTTGTCCCTACCTCTCTGACAGTAGACACCTGCCTTCTGGCATTATTATTATTTTTTTAACACAAAAGCCTAACCCCATTCCTAGGCAGAATTCATCTTGAGGAGAGGGCCGGGGACTCCCCAAGCCTTCGGCCCTCCCCTTCGGTCTCAGGACTGCCACCCAGCTGCAGGGGGTGGGGCTACAGCTTAGGGCTGCTTGTGAGGCTGGCCCCGGGAGAGACCTGCACGCATGGCCCCTGTAATCAGGAGCAAGTCATGGCTCAGGGCTCACCCACAGTGCCACCTCTCTGGAACCTCAGCTTCCTCTCCGGGACTAGAACTACAAAAGCCTACAGCCTGAGCCCCCAGTCTCAGGTGGACATGGCTCTGTCACAGTGACCTTTAAGGTCAGGTCACCTGACGCGGACTCTCAAACATCCTGTGCCTTCCTTCAGAATAACGGCTGACGTCAAACGGTGCTACCTGTGGGCCAGCTGCTGTTCCAAGCGTGACCTTCTCATCACCATATTTTAATCCGCCCAAGCACCTTTGGGGACATGTCTCATTACTATTCGCATGCTAGAGATGGGAAAGCGAGGTAGAGAGAGGGAAAGGGCCGTGATCAGAATCCAGGTGGAGCTGGGAGAGTCTCATTCCAGCCAGTCTGGTCTGAGGTCCGCATCTTACACACCATGTCATGCCTCCACTATCACTAGTTCATCATTTACATAAGTATTTGTTGACCATCTACTGGGACTTCCGGCAAGATCACGCTTCATGAGGGCAGAGCCTGGCACCGAGTGAAAGCTCAGTACACACGGGTGGGTGGGTGGGTGGGTGGGTGAGTGGCAAGGAACTGTG